CCTTCAAAACACCCTATGGACGCAAAAGTTCTAATCACCTTCTTTTCTCGTTCCGCCAGAAGTTTCGTGTCAAAGTCCACCGGTTTCCGCCCATCAGGTTCATCAGCGAAATTAGTGAGAACAACCTAAAATTATTGTATATCCCAGGAGATATTCTCCTGCAAAAAAAAGACGAATCTAACGGACTCTTTTCTCCTCTGTTACAGTTCCCACTACGGAAACGGTACACTTTTCGCGACGAGAAATCGCCATCATTTTCGTCAGTCCATCGGGATCCACTAGGCAGGCGTCGTTCTCCTGAAATTCGTTTAATATAAGCATATAGCGAAAAACTCGCTCGGCATGGATCAGGCCTTCTTGGAAAGCGCCATCCAACTGATACTGATTCAAAATCGCAGCCGCTTCTGGAAGGGTCTTCAGCAAGACCGTGGGTTGCACATAAGACCATGTCCAATTCCATGTCCTTCGTTCTCGTTCTTACTCCCCGAGTGAGTCTGGTGAATGAAGGAATTTAGGGCCTGTTCAACCGGAATTCAATTTTGTGACCTCATCTATTCCCATACTACCCCTTTTCGTACCCTCCCAAGACAAATTTACTACTTTTCAGGCAAGATACCGATTACTTCCTCACTAGATTCGAAGAAAAACGTCAACATAATGTACTACGATTTCAGTAAAGCCTTTGATAAGCTGTCACATAAAGTTCTGATACAGAAGCTGATCTTCTACGGTATTCATCCTTTGGTAGTGATGTGGATTCAGGATTTTCTTGAAAATAGGACATTTCAAGTCCAGGTTGGAGATACTTTGTCATCTGTACGCGCAGCATGCAGTGGTGTTCCACAAGGGAGTGTGATTTCTCCTATTCTGTTCAACATTTCAGAGTTTGGGACCACAGTTTTCATTCCCTATCTTACAGAACAATTGCACTCGCCAAACTGATGCTTAGATGCCTCAATAACTAACGTTACCCTTAATTCCTTTCATTTTTTTTTTCTCTTGTTTCGCGGGTCAAGATAGTTATTATACTGAATATGGCCTCACCAAACTCTTTGAATAGAGGTAAGAGATATGATCCTAACTCATGTAGCTGCTCTAAAATTTTTTCGAATAGTATGTTAATAAAAAAATAAGTAGTGAGGCGGACTTCTTTTCTACGGTTACCGCTCCAACACAAGAGCGTAGCATCGACTCGGAGTTAAATACCTTACCACGAGCCGATAACACTCATATTCAGATCAAAGAGTCATTTTACTTTCGATAAGAGTTTGCTTCAGGTGTTTTTAATAAATTTCTCTGTACTTTATTATTCATTTTATTTATGTTTTTATTTTATTTATTTTTATTTATTTTATTTAATTGTATTTATTTAAATTTACGGGCAAATATTTTTTCTGCAGAAATATGTAACCTTTAAAAAACGTATTGATGTGTTTGTTTAAGTTTTTTGTCTCTAGCTTCATCAGAAATTGTGGTTCTCCTAATTCTACTCACATGTTCTTTAACATCCTACAGAATAAAAAAAATAAATTTCTGAGCACACTCTGAAATATGGGCTGGTCGCTCATCGCAGATATGAAACTTCCTAGTGTTCAGGAAAAACCAACCAAAGGATAGTTACAGTCATCGGGTGCAGACACTAACCTATTTAACTCAAACTGAGCTATTTGAGCTTAAAACAGCTTCGAAGGTGGAAAAGTTGCGCAAACTTCAGCAGTGATTGCCCCAATATGAGGTTCAAACCGTACATATCCCTTTGAGTCTAAGCGGAACTCGCTTCCGCAACGGTTTCCTGAATGAATGACTGATGTCGTGCACTTGATCTTTCTCACCCTTGACTGATGGGAACCGCGCTAAGTAGGCCAATTGACGGAGCCAGCATCATTGTGAAACAAAGGAATAACGCTGATGGGCCTAATCACGTCTCGCCTGCCAGTGAACCGATAGCATAGCATGATTCCGGACCACGGGGTGCAAGACAGGGCACACAGATTGCATGCTCTAATTGGGCTCAGGGATTTTCACTGTAGGAGGTTTACCCGAGGGGAGCCGCAATACCTTGGCGATCTATAGTGATGGGGGGAGGGGGGGGGGGTCAAAAATACACTTTTCTTCCTCGACTTTCGAGGCGATATAAGTTACACTTTATCAAATTCTGATTAGACATTTTCACCATCAAATTCAACAACACATTGTACACATCACGAAAC